TTAGGGAGGCGGGGATGAGCTGGGCTGGTTTTGGGATGCGGTCGGGGGAGGGGAGATTTTGAAGCTTGTGAAGTCCACATTGATACCATTGGGCTGCAGGGTTCCCAAGCTAAATATGAGACGCTGTTCCTGCAACCTTTGGGTGGCATCGTTGTGGCACTGCAGGAGGCCCACGATGGACATGTCGTCCAAGGAGTGGAAGGGGGAGTTGAAATGGTTCGCGAGAAACGACTGCCCCTCCTGGAACACACAGAAAACGTTATACCAAAACTCACTACTCTGTACTAAAGGAATCAGTTTCCCACCAGTATATATTCAACCCACTCAGATAGAACACTTGGATAGTAAAGAGGGTTGCATTCAAAATCTCCCCTCCCCCGACCGCATCCCAAAACCAGCCCAGCTCGTCCCCACCTCCCTAACCTATCCTAGAAAGTGGTGATCCTGTGGAATTCTCTGCCGCAGAAAGCAGTTGAGGCCAAAACATTGAAGGTTTTCAAATAGGAATTAGATATAGTTCTTAGGGCTAAAGAGATCAAAGGGTATGGAGAGAAAGCAGGGACAGGGTACTGACGTGGCTGATCAACCACATTGAAGTGCCAAGTAGATTACTCCTGCTTGTATTTTCTATGTCTATGTTTTTCAGTCTGCTGGGACCATTCTAGAGTCTTAGGAATTGCAGACTTTGAAATGAGCTGTGATAAACCCTGACTCTGTTCCATGATGCCAGTTAACATTTTTGTTTTCTGTAGGTGTTTAAAGTTGGAAACCAGATGAAGAAAGCAGTTTCCCATTTAACCATGAACTTATACAAGGGACAAATCTCAGTATTGCTGGGGCACAATGGCGCTGGAAAGACTACTACTCTGGCTATGCTCACAGGTGTGTTCAAGGTCATTAGAGTGCACCATTGCATTCTAGGAATACTTTCTAGGTCTTCACTTTGTCCTGTCTGACTTTTCTATTTGGACCTCACATTGCTACTGCAACAATTGAAGGCAACATTAGTGGTCAGACACAGACACTTGGTATATTCCTTTAGCAAAAACTGTGTTTGCTGATGGGCAGGAGCATATACAGAAGCAGTATAAGTTTTGAATTAAATTGAAATAAAGAGCATTAAAAACCTAACAAACACCTAGAAATGTAAAACAAACTTCACAAAAATGTAGATTGGTGAAGAGAAAAAAAACTTCGATTTTCTTTTTTAAAAAATCGGCTGTATATTGTGCATGCCCAGTCTGAAAGAAAGTAGGTACGTAGACATAGAGGTGCAGGGCTGGATGAACACAGCAGGCCAAGCAGCATCATAGGAGCAGAGAGGCTGACATTTCGGGCCTGGACCTTTCATCAGAAAGTAGACATAGTTGGCATTTAGTAGTGTATTGTTGGTATCAGCAGACATTTTGTTGTCTGACATTCAACAGCCTAATTTAATCACAAAAGTGTCCAGAGTAGGCTATTGAGTGATCTGTGCATGTGGTGTATCTTTCTCCCTGGCATGGAGTGCAACGAACAGAGAATTCTGGAACAATTCAGCAAATCTGGCAGCAGTAGAGGAGACAGAAACAGAGTTAATGTTTTGAGACCGGTCTGACTCTTCTTCAGAACTGTTTGGCTGTACTTTCTACCAATGCAACTGCAGGGGATTAACACACTACACATGCAGTCACAAAATCTGTGACATCACTGTATGGTGTTTAAATGTATAATTTAACTTCTGTTTTATACCACAAAGAAAGAATAAATTAACATCAAAAGCAACTCATTTAAACAGAAACATTTTTGAATTCAAAAGTCTTTACTGTTCGATTTTAGTTAATGCAATTTCATAAGTTGTGAAGAGCATTTGAAACTGCTCTGGCTGCAGTTCTATGTTTTTAAATTGCATTTGCATCAAATTAGTTCCCTAATTCAGGCACACATGTTGGGAAAAAAAGACATTTATCTCAAACAAAATGTTTATTTGTAAACTTTTTGTCTATTTCTGCCTGAAACACATCAACTACTTTGCTAGTCCAAGTTAATAACATCAATAGGAAACTCATTGTTTGAACCTGACTATAGCCACTCAGTCAGTGAGAATTCATGTAAATTGTGGAGCTTTAAGACCTGGAAAGCCACAACTATCCTTTGAATTGCACTTTTTAAAACAAGTCTGAACTTCTGAGCTAATCCTGTTAAAACCAAAGTTATACCCTAGAGACATTAACACAACATATTGAGAGTCAAAACTGGCAAATTAGAATCAAGTAATTTCTATCGTGGGTCTCTGATCCACAGGACTTGTTAGTACAGAAGATAAATTTGAGCATCCAAGAAATCTTAGTGTTGTCTTTCTCCCAGCCATCTAGTATCACATATTTCATGTTGAATTCGACCTGAACCTAAAGAAATTCCACTTTTGCCTCAAGTTGGCATATCACAGTTGGTGATGAGATCATTAGAGCAAGGATTGGAGAGGCCCCAACATCGAGAATCCACATTAGAAATCTGAAGAGTGTAGGGAGGAATGGATGACTGAGTGAATGATGAATGTGTGGATGGTCGGCAGGCTGTATTTTTGGTCTGGTACTGACCTATTTAAGGAATGTATTTGAAGTGTGTGTTAGATCTATTTGTATTACTCTGTCACAATTACTGCCGGAACGGGTAATCTGTTCTCCTGTTTGTTAGGTCTGTTCCCTCCTACAAGTGGCACTGCCTACGTCAATGGGTGTGATATCTGCCAGGACATGCCACTCGTTCGCCAAAGTCTGGGACTCTGTCCACAGCACGATGTCCTGTTTGATAATCTAACTGTAGAAGAACATCTGTTATTTTTTAGTGGGGTAAGTTAGACTGGAGGGGAAGAACACACAGGAGTCCAGGTACAGTTAAAATTTTAAAGGAAAGCGTCTGTCTCCATGCTGCTAACTGCACAATATGTAACTTACCGGCTATTATCCTTACAGATTGTTCCATCTGTTCATTGCAAAGTGTCAGTTTGATTCAGTGGGTAGCCACCTGCTGCTCCGATTCAGGAGGTCATAGATTTCAGCCCCTATTTGAGATTTAGCATATGTTCGGGCAATGCTGACTGCCTGAGATGGTGATCTGGACTTTTGTCAAATCAGAATGATTCAGAAACCTTTAAAAGGAGATGTGATGGCATAGTAATCTTGTCACTGAACTAGTAATTCAGAGTCCCAGACTAAGGTTCTGGCAACATGGTTGAAATCCCAATATGGCAGGCGGTGAAATTGGAATTCAATACAAAAAACAGGAACTAAAAGCTAGTCTAACAATCACCAAGTAACCATTGTCAATTGTTGTGGAAACCTATCGAGTTCATTCATGTTCTGTAGAGAAAGTAATCTGCTGTCTTTACCTAGTCTGGCCTAAATGTGACTCTAGACCTACAGTAATGTGAACGACTTATAACTGCCATCTGAAATGGCTTAGCACACAACTTAGTTCAAGAAGCAATTAGGAATGGGCAATAAATGCTGGACTAGCCAGCTATGCCTGCCTCCTATTATTGAGAGATGAAAAAGATAACATGCAAGTCCTAATTGTGGGATTCCTGACCTCACTTGCAAGTTCTGATTTCTGATTATCAGAAGTGTCTTTTAAGGGGTGGCAGGTTCAGGTTATGACCCTCATGCTGCCACCCCTACCATGGCTGGCTCCGTTACAGAGAAAGGCAAATCCCAGTCCTCCTTGACCTCATAGAGTCGTGATTCATGACACCTCAGTGATGTGTACCATACTATGCATGAGGGAATCTTGTGAAAACGAAGTGAATAAAATCCTCTACATGTCCTCTCCCCATGCAACTCTACCCAGCCTCCCCAGGGCCAATATTAATCCCATGCCAGGCATATGCTGCCCACCCAACCCCAATGATAGGCATTTGATACATTTCATGCGCATTCACCCACAGTGCAATGTAAGGAAGCGATAAATGCTTTAGCAATAATAGGGGACACAAATATCTTTTAAATAGTAATTCATTAAATACTTTGCACTTCCTTAAAATTTTTTTTTACTACAAGTCAGTAAATGTGTCAATTGTCCAGTCTGTTTAAAGTATCAACAGCAGAAAGTCTTGAAAGCTCATAATTATGTGTAAATTATCTTGATGAAAAATTATGCCATGCTGGCTGAGATCCCAGAGCCCCAGCTGCATTGACTACGTTGGCTTTTTGATTTCTGTTGGCGTGGGGATAGCGTGAGAAAACCTTAACATCCTACCCACCTGTTCAGCAAACACCACTTATCTGATCTGTAGTGAAGTTTGTGGATCCACTATTGGACTACTTAGTCATTTCAGGACCCATAATCCCAGAGTAAAGAAAGTCATCTTTGATTCCAGAGAATTGCCTAAGAAGGAAAAGTGAGCAGCAGGAGAGACTATCCGGGTGAGAGAGAGGAACGTTAGGGAGAGAGATGGAGAATGTTCAGGTTGGAGAGAGAGAGAGAGAGAGAGAAAGAGTGTATGGGGATAGGAGAGAGAATGTATGGGGATGGAGATTTGGAGAGAGGTATGGGGAAGGGAGCAGAAGACATCATGAATGTGTGGCAAAGGGAGAGAGAGAAAGGAGTATGGCGAAGAGAGTTAGAGCTCGTTTGGGGGTTGGGAGAGAAAGTATGCGTGAGGGAGAGATTGAGGGGGAGGGAGAGAAAGACGGTGTGTGTGGGGGAGGGAGAGAAAGAGGGAGAGACATTATAGGGGAGGGAAACAAAGACAGTGTGTAGGGGAGGAAGGGAAAGAGAGGGAGAGCAAGTGTAGGGGATGGAGAGTCATAGAGTTGTACAGCATGGAAACAGACCTTTTGGTCCAGCTCGATGCTAGCCAGACATGCTAAATTAATCTAGTTCCATTTGTCAGCATTTGGCCCATATTCTAACCCCTTCCTATTCATGTACCCATCCAGGTGCCTTCTAAATGTGTAATTGTACCACCTCCACCATTTCCTCTGGCAGGTCTTTCCACACAAACATCACCCTTTGCATGGTGCAAGTTATCCCTTAGGTCCCTTTTATATCTTTTCTCTCTTACATTAGAACTATGCACACCAGTTTTGGACTCCCCTACCCTGGGAAAAGACCTTGGCTATTCACCCCATCCATGCCCCTCATGATTTTATAAATCTCTGTAAGATCACTCCCCAGCCTCCGATGCTGCAGAGAAAGTAGCCCCAGCCTACTCAGCCTCTCCCTGTAGTTCAAACTCTCCAACCCTGGCAACGTTCTTGTAAATCTCTTCTGCACCCTTTCAAATTTCACAATATCTTTTGTGTTGCAGAGAAAGAGAGGGGGAGAGAGTGTAGGGGAGTGAGGGAAAGAGGGAGAAAGAGTCTGGGAGGAAGATGAAAGAGAGGTAGAGAGTGTATGCAGAGGCAGAGAAAGATTGGGAGTAGAGAGAGTGTGCTGGGAAGGGGGAGAGAGGAGAGTATGGGGTAGGAGGGGAGACCAAAAGAGAGTGTGGGTGGAGGAGGGAGAGAGAAATTGTGTAGGAGAGGGAGAGAATGAGAGTGTGTTGAATAGGTATAAGAGACAGAGTGAGTGTGGGGGAGTAGATGGAATGAGTGTTATTGGAGAGAGAGAGAAATAGAGAGCGTGAGAGAAGAAGAGGAAAAGAGGGAGAGATGGTGTAGGAGAGAGAGAGAGAGAATGTGGAGTACAGGAAATCGCTTTCATTTCTCAGACCATTGAATATAGGAGTTGGGACATGTTGAGGTTGTACAGGACACTGGTGAGGGCACTTCTGGAGTATTGTGTACAGTTCTGCTCACCCTGCTCTAGGAAGGATATTATTAAATTGGAGAGGGTTCAGAAAAGATTTACCGGATGTTGCCAGGACTGAAGTGTTTGAGTTATAAGGAGAGGATCGATAGGATGGGACATTTTTAACTGGAGCATAGGAGGTTGAGGGGTGACCTTAAAGAGTTTGATAAAATCATGAGGAGCATAAATAAGGTCAATAGTAAAGGTCTTTTTTCCTAGGGTGGGTGAGTTGAAAACTAGGGGGCATATTTTTAAGATGAGAGGAGGAAGATTTGAAAGAGATCTGAGGGGCAACTTTTTCACACAGAGGCTGGTTCATGTGTGGAATGAACTGCCAGAGGAAGTGGTAGATGCAGGTATAGTTATTACCTTTAAAAGATTTTTGGAGAGGTACATGAATAGGAAAGGTTTGGAGGGATATGGGCCAAATGCAGGCAAGTGGTACTAGTTTAGTTTGGGAAACTTGGTCGGCGTGGACTAGTTGGACCAAGGGTCTGATTCCATGCTGTGTGACTATGAGAGAGTGTGGGGTAGGAGGACAGAGAGAAAGAAAAGGAGAATGTGGGGGAGGGTGGGAGAGATTGTGGACGAGGGTGGAGAGAATGAGTCAGAGTGTGGGTGGGGGAACAGGGAGAGTTAAGTGTGGATGAAGGAGAGAGAGAAAGAGAGTGTGTGGGGGAGGGAAAGAGAAAGAAAGAGCAAATATGAAGAGGAGAGTGAGTGAGTGTGGAGTAGGAGAACACAGAAAGAGAAAGAGAATGTGGGGTAAGGAGAGAGAGAGATTACGGACAAGGGCAGAGAGAGTGAGTGAGAGTGCAGGTCAGGGAACAGAGAGAGTGAGTGTGGGTGAAGGAAGGAGAGAGAAAGAGAGTGCGTGGGTGGTGTGGGGGGGATAAAGAGGGAGAGTGGGAGGTAGGGAGGGAGGGAGAAAGAAAAGGAGAATATGGGGGAGGGAGAGAGGGAGAGATTGTGGACGAGGATGGACAGAGTGAATGAATGAGTGGGAGAGTAAATAGAGAAAGTAAGTATGGGTAAAGGAGTGAGAGAGAACAAGTGAATGGGGCAGGGGAAGAGTGAGTGTGAGTGTGAAGGAGGGCAGAGAGAGTGTGTGGGGAAGGAAAATAAAGTGTGGAGGAGAGGAAGGGACAAAGTGTGTTGGAGGGCTGATAGTAGTATTGGGAGGAGGGAGAGAATGAGTGTGGGTTAGAGAGAGTGAGGTATTAAGAGTTGTGGGGATGGGGGGACAGAGAGAGAGTGTGGGAGGGGGAGAGATAGGGACAGAATGTCGGGAAGGGCTGGACAAAGAGATTGTGGGGAAAGGAGAGAAAGACAATGAGTGTGTGGGAGGGAGAGAAAGAAAGTGAGAGTGTAGGGGGAGAGGACAGAGAGTGAGTGTGTTGATGAAGAAAGGAGAGAGCCAGAGACTGTGTGGGAGAGAGACAGCAAAGGAAATGTGTTGGAGGGAAGGACAAGGAGAGAGTGTGGTGGAAGGAGAGAAAACAAGTTGAGAGGGGGAGGCAGTGTGAGCATGAATGTGGAGGGAGGCAGAGCATGTGACAGTGCTTGAAGCAGAGAGCGCACCACTGATGAGGGAAATACAGAAGAGTCACGTTTGGCTGTCATCTCCTAACTATTATGACAATTAGAATTGGATAGCATTGTCTTAGCTTGTTGACCCAGCCATTTCGTCCTCACAGCTAAAAGGCTGCCACTCTGGTCAGATACGTGAAGAGGTAAACCGGATGTTAAGCATGCTGAAGTTTGAGGATAAAAGAAAAGCAAAGGTCAAGACTTTGTCTGGTGGAATGAAACGGAAGCTCTCCATCGGAATTTCTCTCATCGGTAACTCTAAGGTAATAATCCCTTTAAGACCTCAGGGCATCAGAAGGTGCAATGTGCTTGATAAAAAAGACATTTTGCCAGAAACATTGAACAGATCAGGCAGCAGTAGTTAGCGAAGCAAAATTAATGGTCCAATGACCTTTGCTGTAACAGTGTGTTTTTATTCATGCAGGAGACGTGGGCTGCATTGGCTAGGCCATAATTTATGCCCTCTTCCATATCTGCCCTTGAGAGGTGATGGTGAACTGCTTTCTTGAACTGCTACAGTCAATTTGGTGCAGGTAGATCCACAGTACTGTTAGGGAGCAAGTTCCAGAATTTTCACTCAGTGACATTGAAGGAACGGTGATATAGTTGAAAGTCAGGAGGGTGAGTAACTTGCAGGTCAGGGTGTTCTCACATATCTGCTACCCTTGTCCTTTTAGGCAGTAATGGTCATGGGTTTGAAAGGTGCAGCCTAAAGAGCCTTGGTGAATTTCTGTAGTACATCTTGTAGACAGTACACTCTGTTACTGTGCATCAGTGGTGAAAGAAGTGAATATTTGTGGATATGGCACCAAACAACAGGCTGCTTTGTCTAGAATGTCATCAGACTTTGAGTGTTGTTAGACCTGCATTTATCTAGGCAAGTGGAGAGTATTCCATCACACTTCTGACTATTGCCTTGTAGATGGTGGTCAGTCTTTGAGGTATCAGGAGTGAGTTAATCACCACACTGTTTCTAGCTTTTGTCCCGCTCTTGTAGTCACCATATTTACATGGCTGGTCCAGTTCAGTTTCTGGTCAATAGTAAACTACTGAATGTTGATAGTAAGAGATTCAGTGATGGTAATGCCATTGAATATCAAGAGGCGATGTTTAGATTCTCTCTTGTGGGAGATGGATGTTGCCTGGATCTTGTGTGGCATGAATGTTAATTATCACTTGTCAACCCAAGCTTGGATATTTGTCCAGAGTGTTCCACATTTGGGCGTGGACAGCTTCAGCATCTGCAGATCATTGTGCTATCACCAGCAAATATCCCAATTCTGACCTTAAGGTGGAGGAAAGGTGGCTAATGAAACAGATGAAGATGATTGAACCTCGGACACTAGCCTGAGAAACTCCTGCAGAGATGATGTATTGCTGAGATGGCTGATCTCTAATAACTGCAACCTCTCCTTTGTATTAGGTATGACTACAACTGCTGAGGTTGCCACTCCTTTAGAACAGAAATAACATGCACATCAAACACATCTGCTTTAGCTCGCAGTCCATCTTTCCTCAATCTGACTGTGAGCAAGTGGGACATGGAAAAGAAATAGTGTCATTCCAAGGGTGGGGTGGGGGAGACCAAGACCTAGGTCAAAAGCTCCAGAAAATGGACAAGTAACCTTTTCATTGTTTCAACCAGCCAGTAACTGTGCCCTTTAGAGACTGACCAAATCCCCACAAAGGATCTTGTATTGATTATTTGCTTTCTGTCCTTCAGGTTGTCATGTTGGATGAACCAACATCTGGTATGGATCCACTATCCCGCAGGTCTGCCTGGGACCTTCTACAGAACCAGAAGTATGGCCGCACTATCCTGCTTACCACTCATTTTATGGATGAAGCTGATCTCCTTGGAGATCGTATTCTGATCATGGCCAATGGGCAGCTTCAATGCAGTGGATCGTCACTCTTCCTCAAGAACAAGTATGGTGAGTAAGAGAAACAGTACAAATTACAGCACTATAAACCTCCAAGATCTCTGATGACTTCAAATTGACCACTAATACATTCCCATCCTTTGCCCCATCCATTAGCAGTCATGCTTTCAGCCTCCTGGGCTCTAAGCTCTGGAATTCTCTTCCTAAACCTCTCCACTTCCATATCCTTTAAAAAGTTCCTTAAAACCTTCATTTTCAATAAGAGTTTTAGTAACCTATCCCAAAAACCTCTTCTTTGGCTTGATGTCATTTTTTGTGTGATTGAGTCTTGAGATGTTTCACTACATCATAAAGACTATATAAATCTAAGTAGTTGTTGAATATATGCTTGTCAGGCACTGGCTGCACAATGACACGTTTCTGCCAAAAAATCAGTAAATGAGGAATAGTATTGAATGAGAAGCCTGATTTGATAAGAAATAAATAGTTGTAGGAATCATACAGTTTCTCGAGCCTGCTCTGCTTTTCAGTGTGAGCATGGCTGATCTAATTCTTGACCTTAGCTCCACTTTCCCGTTTGATCCCCACAACTATTAATTTCTCTATAGTACAAACATCTGTATGCCTCAACCTTGAATATATTAGGTGACCCAGCCTCTGCAGCTGTCTGGGTAAAATAATTCCTAAGATTCATGATCCTTTGAAAGAAGAAACTCCACCTTACCTCCATCTTAAGTAGGTGACCCCTTATTCTGAAACTGTACCTCCTGTTTCTAGATTGTCCCATGAGGAACATGACTCGTTTATCCTGACCCTGTGTTTCCTGTTAGCCTCTTCTTGTACATGTTGATGTACAATCTTAGTGCACAGCTTGTCACATTAGGGCTCACAATTTACAATACCTACAGGAAAGAATTGAACATAAGAGGCCATTTGGTGAATGAAAAAAAACTTGTGGAAAGAACATTCATCTCAATGATCCTGATCGAATTTTGTTTTGTTATCTAATATGAACACAAATCATACTTGGAGTTCAAATGATGTCTCCCAGTGGAGTATGTGAATATTTATGAACATAAGAAGACAAACAGGAGGCTGGAAGAACACAGCAGGCCCGGCTGCATCTGGAGGAAAGGAGCAATCAATGTTTTGGGTATTACCCTTCTTCAGGAATGCTCCTTTCTTCTAGATGCTGCCTGGCCTGCTGTGCTCTTCCAGCCTCCTGTTTGTCTACCCTGGATTGCAGCATCTGCAGTTTTTTTTGTCTCTATGAACATATGTATTAGGAGCAGAAGTAAGCCATTCAGCCCCTTGAGCCTGCTGTGCCATTCAGTGAGATCATGACTGATCTGTTGTGTTTCGAATTCTGAAACTTTCTGCATCCGACTAGAGACCGCAGTGGAAAATGAACAAATGTTTTCTTGGCACAGGGTACAGGGTTTTGACAGTAAGACTTCCATATCTCCTTGACTGCTGAAGACCAGCAGATCAGTGAACAGGATAACATTTAGAAAGAATAGCAGAAGATGAAAAGACATCATTCTGCCTTTAACTGTCCTATTGAAGCTTCTGGCCACTAGGCTTTTCTGTGCCACGCAAACCTCCAGTTTATGATGTTCTCCCCTGGCCCTGCCCAATAACTCTCAAATATTTGGACTCTTCCCAATCTGCATGCTCCAGATTCCAGTCCTGTTGACTTTTTTAGTGCCTTATCTGAGATCTTATAGATAAGTGGCCCAGAGTAAGGGAGGAACTCTAGGTGGGGATTCTGAGGATACTGCTACGGAACCCAGAAATAAATTGCAAAGATCATACTCATTCAGTTAGGGACTTGCAATCCATCCATAGATACTTCAGTGAGGTGAGACTCAACCAAGGATGATAAAGACAGGCTCCCATGCCTCTGACCTGAGTGTTGTGAACTCTTAACACATCTTCTGCAGCCTCAGTTTCTGCTGGTTTGGTTATAATTTTCACAATGTTGCTTTTCTTTTTTAATTGCTCTGGTCATTGTAGAAAATAATGGACCTGCTAGAAACAGTCTGTCTCTAAGGTAATAGGTGTGAAGCTGGAAAAGCACAGCAGATCAGACAGTGTCCTCCTCCTCTGCTGCTGTCTGACCTGCTGTGCTTTTCTAGCCTCGCACCTGTAGACTCTGGCTTCCAGCATCTGCAGTCCTTATTGTCTCCTGCCTCTTAGGTTAATTTGATTCAGATGGTCAAGTATGTGTGTATTTATTCAAATCAGGAATTCTGCATCAAATTTATTTTCGTTTGAATGAGTGTAGGTTGCTGAGAGAGGAGTCACTGTATAATAGTGGCACATCACCAAATTTTTGGCCTCAGTATTGATGAAAATCCAGTGTTCATGAAGTTTTCAGGTGAGGGAAGCCAATTGACCCATTGTACTACATCCATTCAGAAAAACTTTATACTCCCCTTATTGTAACCTGCAGTTGATTCTTAAATAAATACAAGGTTTTCACCCTCTGCTGCTGCATGCATTCATTACCCTGTGTCTGAAAAGTCTCCTGATATTGATAGAAATTTCCTTCAGATGGAGCCTTTGACCCCTATCCTGTTGTAGTTTAATTTAAAGTAATAGCCTGTTTCCAAATTATCTATTATCTTGGCTACCTCTAAACAGAAGAGTGAAAAGCTCAAGTTTCTCAACTTTTCCTTGTACTTCAAATCTCTGTCTATGAATCAGCGTAAAGGTTCCTTTTCACATTCCATTTACTACTTACAATATCCCTTGTAACTCAGTGATCAGAACGGTGTCTTCTGACCTGAGCTGGGTGCAGTGCTCAAGATGCAATAATGAGCTGAAGCAGAGTTTGACTAGATTCAAGCCCAGACCAGGTTAATGCGACTGATTAGATTGGTATCTCAAACACTGTCACATTCCTAAACACTATTAAGAGCTGTGACGTATGTAATGCACCTTGATGAAGTCTATTTGCCTGTAAGTTCTATTTCATAGCTAGTTTATTTAAACTGAAGCAATCTCCTTTAGCTACTGTGTTTATAGTGTTGGGTGTGTTGTTTCAGGGGCTGGGTACCACATGGTGATTGTGAAGCAACCTCATTGTAAAGTCGCTGACATTACCGCACTTGTGAAGAGCCTCATTCCCAAAGCAGACATGCAGACCAATGCTGGTGCTGAACTCTCCTACATCCTCCCGACTGAAAGCACTGACAGGTATATTATGGCAGAGGGAACCTCTCCAACCCTTGTCTGTTGAGCCAGTTTCTGAATGTGTGTTTAATAGGTGTACATGGATGCACCACTGTGAACAAAAGCATTTTTTAAAAATATTCATTCACAGGATTTGGAATCAGTGGCCAAGCCAATATTTATTAACCACCATTAATGTCCCTTGAGAAGGTGGTGGTGAGCCATCTCCTTAAACTGCTGCAATCTATGTGATATATGTACACTTACAGAGCTGATAGGAAGCTCCAGGATTTATTTCCAGTGATAAGTGAATGAACAGCAATATAGCTACAAGTCAGGATACTGTGTGGCTTGGAGGGGATCTTGCAAGTGGTGGTGCTATCTGCTGCTTTGACCTTCTATGTATTGGAGGCTGTGAATTTGGAGGGTGCTGTCAAAACAGCCATAGAGAGTTGCCAGTTCCTCTAGTGATGGTACACATTGTGGTAGTGAAGGGAATGAATGTTTAAGTTGTTGAATACGGCACAAAGCAAGTGGCCTGCTTTGTCTAGGATGATGTTGAGCTTCCCGAGTGTTGTTGGAGCTGCACTAATCTAGGCAAGTGAGGAGTATGACATCATGCTCCTGACTTGTCTCATACAAATGGCAGACAAGCTTAGGGGAGTCAGGAAGTGAGTTAGTCAATTGCATAATTCCTAGCCTCCAACCTGCACCTGTAGCCACAAGATCTAAGATGGTAAGGAAAAGCCAGGTATCTACAGACTGATGAGCCTGACATCGGTGGTGGGCAAGTTGTAGGAGGGAATCCTGACGGACAGGATTTACATGCATTTGGAAAGGCAAGGACTGATTAGGGATGGTCAACATGTCTTTGTGCGGGGGAAATTGTGTCTCATTAACTTGATTGAGTTTTTTGAAGAGGTAACGAAGAGGATTGCTGAGAGCAGAGTGGTGGACATGATCTATATGGACTTCAGTAAGGTGTTCGACAAGTTTCCTCATGGTAGACTGGTTAGCAAGGTTAGATCACATGGAATACAGGGTGAACTAGCCATTTGGATACAGAACTGGCTCAAAGGTAGAAGACAGAGGGTGGCGGTGGAGGGTTCTTTTTCAGACTGGAGGCCTGTGACCAGTGGTGTGCCACATGGATCGGTGCTGGGTCCACTGCTTTTTGATTTTTATATAAATGATTTGGATGTGAACATAGGAGATACATTTAGTATGTTTGCAGATGACACCAAAATCGGCAGTCTAGTGGACAGCGAAGAAGGTTGCCTCAGAGTACAATGGGATCTGGATCAGATGGACCAATGGGCCAAGGAGTGGCAGATGGAGTTTAATTTAGATAAATGTGGAGGGCTGCATTTTGGAAAGGCAAATCAGGCAGGACTTATACACTTAATGATAAGGTCCTGAGAGTGTTACTGAACAGAAACCTCAGAGTGCAGGTTCATAGTTCCTTGAAATTAGAGTCCCAGTTAGACAGGATAGTGAAAGAGGCATTTGGTATGCTTGCCATTATTGGTCAGTGCATTGAGCATAGGAGTTGGAGGTCACGTTGTGACTGTACAGGACACTGGTTAGGCCACTATTGGAATACTGTGTGCAATTATGGTCTCTGTGCTATAGGAAAGATGTTGTGAAACTTGAAAGGTTTCAGAAAAGATTTACAAGAATATTGCTGGGATTGGAGGGTTTGAACTATAGGGAAAGGCTGAATAGACTGGGGCTATTTTCCCTGGAGTGTTGGAGGCTGAGGGGTGACCTTATAGAGGCTTATAAAAGCATGAGGGTCATGGATAGGGTAAATAGACAAGGTCTTTTCCCCAGGGTGGGAGTCCAAAACTAGAGGGCGTAGTTTTAACATGAGAGGGGAAAGATTTATAAGTGACCTAAGGGGCAACATTTTTAGGCAGAGGGTGGTGCATGTATAGAATGAACTGCCAGAAGAAGTGGTGGAGGCTGGTACAATTACAACATTTAAAAGGCATTTGGATGGGTATATGAATAGGAAGAGTTTAGAGGGATGTGGCCAAATGCTAGCAAATAGGACTAGATTTATTTAGGATATCTGGTTGGCATGGACGAGTTCAACCAAAGGATTTGTTTCTGTGCTGTGTATCTATATGACTCTATCTACTTTTATAAGCACTCTGTATCCATCTGTGTCTCTTCTCTGGGATCTGTTAGCATTTCTTTATGCAACAAAACAATCTGTGGATGACTTGCATCCACCCTTTAATGTTTGATACTTCGTTCTCTCCAGCATTTATCTGAAATGACAAAATCAATCTGTAAAACTGTTCTCATTTACAGTTTCATAGAGATTCATTGTCTCACAATAAATTATTAATAACAATTGGTGGGGATTTTATTTTCATAACCCTCGTACAAAATCTGACTCTCAAATTTGAAAAGTAGAATTCTGTATTTAAATTCTGCGATTCAGCAGCAAAATTCTTTTAACAATTTATTTTCCTATCGTTTCAAGCCAGAGGAAAGCATTTCCAATTTCCATTGCTAAGAATTATTATGAAACTAGCAGCACTGGCACCCATCAGGAAAGTTAACATTTGAAAGATTGCTAGAAATAACTAGCTTTTCACTCTTTGGGCTATCTAAAGATGAAACCTGAAATATTCTTTTATCCAGATTTTATTTCCAACGTTCCATTTTGCCATAAAACATTTTAAACTCTTAAGATATTTGCTCATTGCATGTAGCTCTAACATATCAAACGCAGCTTCCGTTTAGTCTGAGTGCCCAACAAGTTCAAACAACCATTCAAGATCCGCCACTTCTCTCCTTCTTTTCGGATATAACATCATCTTTCTACATGATTTTGTACGATTAACCAGGATTAACTAAGTATGATTTTTAACTTAAATTTGCTCCAGATATGTTTACTATCAAAACTGATATAGTTAAAACCCTGAGAATCTCCGCTTCCATTTTTAAATATCGACGTTTTTCTGTTTTTGTATCTTTGGCCCCAAGTACATTTGACAGTCTCTGAAAGCAGGTGAGAGTCAATCCCCATGAATAGGTAGGTGAGAGTGTCAATCCCTGTGAGTGGGTCAGTCCCCATGAGTGAGAGCGCAGGTGCGTCGGCCCCGCTGCGGGCACGGGTGCGTCGGCCCCGCTGCGGGCACGGGTGCGTCGGCCCCGCTGCGGGCACGGGTGCGTCGGTCCGGTGAGGGCACGGGTGTGTCGGTCCCAATAAGTGAAAAGGTAGGTCTCGGTGAGTGCGCAGGTTTGTTGGTCTCAGTGAGTGCACAAGTGTATCAGTCTCGGTGTGTGTATGACAGTGAGTGCGCAGGCACATGAGTCTCTGTGAGTGTTTGAGAGTGAGTGCAATGTTGTGTTTGTCTCAGTGAGTGTATGTGATTGAGTGTGCTCATGTGTGATAGTCTAGGTGTGTGGGCAGGTCTGAGTGTGAGAGTGAGTGAGGAAGTGTGTCAGTCTCAGTGTATGTGTGGGAATGAGTGTGCAGGTTGTCAGTCTCAGTGAGTGCGTGAGAGTGAGTGCACAGGTGTGTCAGTTTACGTGACTGCCTGTGTGTGTGTGAGAGTGTGCACAGGTGTGTCGGTTTCAGTGTGAATGGGTGCGCAGGTGTGTCAGTCTCAATGAATACGCACATGTGTGCACAGATGTGTCAATCTCAGTGAATGTGTGAGGCATGAAGGTCTCAGTGAGTCTTTGAGTGAGTGCCCAAGTTTGTCACGGTGAGTGTGCAGGAATGTCCGTCTCAGTGAGAATGAGTGACAAAGTGCATCAGTGTCGATGTCTTTTTTTATTTATTCATTTTTGTGGGATGTGGGCATTGCTGGCTGGCCAGCATTTATTGTCTGTCCCTATTTGCCCTTGAGAAGGTGGTAGTGAGCTGCCTTCTTAAACTGCTGCAGTCCAACTGTGGTGAGTTGTCCCACAATGCCATTAGGGAGGGAATTCTAGGATGTTGACCCAGCGACAGTGAAGGAATGCCAGTATATTTCCAAGTCAGAATGGTGAGTGGCTTGGAGGGAAACTTGAAGTCAGTGGTGTTCCCATGTATCTGCTGCACTTGTCCTTCTAGATGGAAGTGGTCATGGGTTTAGAAGGTGTTGTATGAGGATCTTTGGTGAATTTCTGCAGTGCATTTTGAAGACAGTACACACTGCTGCTACTGAGCATTGGTGGTGGAAGGAGTGGGTGCTTGTGGATGTCGTGCCAATCAAGCTGGCTGCTTTGTCCTCGACGGTGTCAAGCTTCTTGAGTGTTGTTGGGGCTGCACTCATCCAGGCAAGTAGGGAGTATGCCATCACACTCCTGACTTGTGCGTTTTAGATGATGAACAGGCTTTCGGGAGTCAGAAAGTGAGTTACTCGCCACAATATTCCTAGCTTCTGACCTGCTCTTGTAGCCACTGCATTTTGTGGCGAGTCCAGTTGAGTTCAATGATAACTCCCAGGATGTTGATAGTTGGGGATTAAGTGATGATAACACCATTGAATGTCAAGGGGTGGTGGTTAGATTGTCTCTTATTGGTGATGGTCATAGCCTGGCAATTGTGTGGCACAAATGTTACTTCCCACTTGTCAGCCCAAGTCTGGATATTGTCCAGAACTTGTTGCATTTGAACGTGGACTGCTCCAGTATCTGAGGAATTGCGAATGGTGTTGAACATTGTGCAGTCATCGGTGAACATCTCTACTTCTGATCTTGTGATGGAGGGAAGGTCATTGATGAAGCAGCTGAAGATGGTTGGGCCAAGGACATTACCCTGAGGAACTCCTGCAGAGATGTCCTAGAGCTGAGATGACTGACCTCCAACAACCACGACCATCTTCCTGTGTGTCAGGTATGACTAACTACTGGAGAGTTTGCCCCCGATACTGATTGATTCCAGTTTTGCTAAGGCTGTTTGATATCACGCTCAGTCGAATGCAACCTTGATGTCAAGGGCTGTCACTTTCACCTCACCTCTGGAATTCAGCTCTTTTGTCCATGTTTGAACCAAGGCTGTAATGAGATCAGGAACTGAGTGACCCTGGCTGAATCCATACTGGGCATCACTGAGTAGATTATGGCTGAACAGGCGCTGCTTGAAAGCACTGTTGTTGACATCTTCCATCACTTTACTGATGGTCAAAGTAGACTGACGGGGCAGTAATTGGCCAGGTTGGAATTTCCTGCTTATTATGTACAGGACATACTTGGAAATTTTCCACATTGTCAGGTAGATGCCAGTGTTGTAACTGTTCTGGAACAGCTTGGCTGGGGGAGCAGCAAGTTCTGGAGCGCAAGTCTTCAGGACTATTGTCAGAATGTGTCAGGGACCATAGACTTTGTAGTATCCAGTGCCTCCAACCATTTCTTGATATCACATGGAATGACTCGAATTGGCTGAAGACTGGTATCTATAATGCTGGGGACCACTGGAGGAGGCTGAGATGGATCATCGATTCGGCATGTCTGGCTGAAGATTGCTGCGAAATCTTCAGCTTTATCTTTTGCACAAATGAGCTGGGCTCTTCCATCCACCAGTGAGTTGTTTAATCGTCCACCACCATTCACAACTGGATGTGGCAGGACTGCAGAGCTTAGATTTGATCTGTTAGTTGTGGGCTCGCCTAGCTCTGTCTTCCACTTGTCACTTATTGCTGTTTGGCGTGCAAGTAGTGCTGTTTGATGGCTTCACCAGGTTGACACGTCATTCAGGTATACCTAGTGCTGCTCCTGGCATGCCCTCCTGCTCTTTCCATTGAACCAGGGTTGATCTCCTGGCTTGATGGTAATGGTCGAGTGGGGGTTATGCCGGGCCATAAGGTTACAGATTGTGCTGGAGTACAATTCTGCTGCTGTTGATGGCCCACAGTGCCTCATGGATGCCCAGTCTTGAGTTGCTAGGTCTATTTGAAGTCTGTCCCATTTAGTGTGGTGATGGTGCCACACAACACAATGAAGGTTATTCTCATTGTGAAGGCGGGACTTCATCTCCACAAGGAGTTGTGGTGGTCACTCTTACCGATATTGTCATGGACAAATGCATCTGCACCTGGCAGATTGATAGGGGTGAGGTCAAGTATGTTTTTTCCTCTGGTGCGTTCCCTCACTACCTGCCGCACACCCAGTCTAGCAGCTAAGTCCTTTAGGACGTGACCAGCTCGATCAGTAATACTGCTGCTGAGCCACATTGAAATCCCCCATTCAGAGTACATGTGTGTGTGTGAGACACTGCGTGGCAGGCATGTGGGTCTCCGTAAGTGTTTGAAAATGAGTGCACAGTTGTGTCTATCTCAATGAGTCTGTGAGAGTAAGTGCACAGATGTGTCGGTCTCGGTTTGTGAGCTGGTGTGTCGGTCGCGGTGTGTGAGCAGGTGTGTCTGTCTCAGTGAGTGCGCAGTTATTGTGTCATAGAGATGTAAAGCATGGAAACAGACCCTTCGGTCCAACTCATCCATGCTGACCAGATATCCTACATAAATCTAGTCCCATTTGCCAGCATTTGGCCATATCCCTCTAAACCCTGCCTATCCATATACCCATCCAGATGCATTTTAAATGTTGCTCTTGTACCAGCCTCCATCACCTCCTCTAGCATCTGATTCCATATGTGCATCACACTCTATGTGGAAAAAGTTGCACCTTAGGTCTGTTTTAAATCATTCCCCTCTCACCTTAAAACCTATGTTCTCTAGTTTTAGACTCCCCTACCCTGGGGAAAAGACTTTGGCTATTCACCCAACTTCTATAAGATCTCTTCTCAGCCTCCAACGCTCCTGGTGTGATGGTCCCAGTGGGTGCGCAGGTGCGTTAATCTTGATGAATGCACAGGTAGGTCAATCTAAGCGAGTGTGTGTGAGATAGTGTGCACATGTGTTGGTCTCAGTAGAATGAGTGCACAGGTGTGTCAGCCTTGGTGAGAGTGCTAGTGAGTGTAAAACAAACCTTTGTGTCTGTATGTGAGAGTTTGTTTGGTAAAAGCAGCTCATATTATGCCAGTGACAATCAGTGTGTTGCAAAAGTTTTTTACACTGGTAGCAGCAGTGGGATTAATCTTATGGACATCTTTCACAGCAGCAGCAACACTCGGATTAGAGGTTTGTCTTGAAAGTGTTATGATTCAATATATTAACATCTTTCTTGTCGGCAGGTTTGAAGACCTTTTCTCACAACTTGAAATGAAGAAGAAGAAGCTGGGAATTGCCAGTTATGGAGCTTCAGTCACTACCATGGAAGAGGTGTTTCTAAAGTGAGTGAGATGTCTGGCATTTTGACGTTAATTTTACCATTTCTGTTTCTGTCACCTCTGTCCTTCAGTGACATTTTATGGGGACATAGGGCTGATGGGGGTTTGTGAGTGTTGAAAAGAAGGTCATTGTCAGTTATCAGTTTACTTTCTGAAACCATCCTCCCTGGCGGCAGTTCTCAGGTCTATATTGTGTGGTGCATTAATGAAGGGTGGCAAAAACGTAGCTGAAGTCCCATCTCTGGCAAGAGGCTACAACAATAAAATGACAAGTTTACACAGGCATCTTTCCTGTCTCTATTTTGCTCCCCTCTCTTTCCTTCCCTTGTATCTCTCTTTCCTCCTGTCACTTTCTCTCCTCCTGCCTTTCATTCTCTCTCTTTGTCTCTCCTTCCTGTCTCCCTCTCCATGCCTGTCTCTCTCTGTCTCTCTCTCCCGCTCCCTGTTAATTCCAGATACCTGTTTTTCTGTCTGTCTCTCCGTTTAAAACCACAAATTGCTTCTATCAATCCCAAGATAGTGTATAACATTGCATCATTTCAACATTTCATTTTGACTCTCATGGGTAACACTACTGTGAATGAGTACAACAGAGCAAATATGTTCTGTTAATGACAACTTCCTTAAGTAAGAAGTACAAAGTACTGTACTTGTGGTCTCCCTAGTGTCCTGTACAGTTATGGCAAGTCTTCCCCACTTACAAACTCATCTCCCTTGCTATAAAGGTAAATATTCCATTTGCCTTCTGAATTATTTGCTGTACCTGCATGGCTAGATTTTGTGAATCATGTGTACGCAGATTCCTACCTACTATAGTATTCTGTAGTCTCTTTAAATTTAAGTAATATTCTGCTTTCCTGTCCTTCTTGACAAATTTCCCAACTTTACATGTTCCCACATTATACCCCATCTGCCAGTATTTGTTCATTGACTTAACCAAGCTATTTCTCTTTGCAAACTCTTTGTATCCTCCTAACAACTTGCTTTCCTCCTTGTCTTCATATTGTTTACATATTTAGCTGCTATGCAGTTAGTCTCTTCATCTAAGACATTAATGAATATTGCTCCTTACCCACCATGTTTACCTCCCTCCCTCTCACTCGTCCTCCCTTCAGTCTTGTTCTCCCTCCCCTCCTCCTCTCTCCCCTTCCTTGCCACTCTCCTGTCATGCCTTTCTCTTTCCCAGCTCTCTCTTTCTTATGTCTTCTTCCCTTCTCACTCTCTCCGTCCTTCCCTCCATCTTGTTTCTTCCACCTTCTCTCACATTCCCTTCTCTTTCTTTGTTTCTCTCTTGTCTCCGCCTCTCACTACACCTTTTTCACCCTGCCTGCTGTCTCCTTTTGTTTCCCCCCTCCGCAGACACACTTAGTTCATGTATCCCTGTTTTCTAATCCCTTCCTAATGCCAGTCTCTCTTTTGTTGACTGATTATTTCATACACCTCCTGTTTTGATTGGAGCTTCCGCTGATTCTGGTGTTGAGAACCGCCCCCCAACTCTGCCCGCAGCCTTTAGTGTTATATCATTTTTCTGTCTGTGTTTGTGGCTTTTTACAGGGTGGGGAAGCTGGTGGACTCCAGCATGGACATTCAGGCAATCCAGCTGCCAGCAATACAATACCAGCATGAGCGTAGGATGAGTGACTGGTCAGTTGGAGAGAAAACCAGCCTGAGTGACTTGATGGAAGACGCAGATAACAATGAGAGTCATCTTCCCAACACCTATTCTTCTATCAAACTGAACACAGGGGTAAACTCATTAACTGCAGGGCCTTCTCAGAGTTAAAGGGGCAGGCATCTCCCATAATTCTAAATATACTTGTGGCTATGTGTTTTTTATAAATAAACTACAACAATTCTATTAGTTAGTATAAATGCACACTAAGGTGCCTCTGGTCAGCACTCCAGTGCAGTATTGCGGGAGTGCTGTTGGCGTTGTCATCTTTTAGAAGAGGTATTAAGGGAAGGCCTTGTCTGCCCTCTCAAGTTGGTACAGAAAAGGCCCTTCAGTCCATCAAGTCTGTACTACCTACTAAATCCCACTTTCCTGAGTAGATCCATAGCCTTGCATGTTGTGACACTTATCCAAGTACTTTTTTAAGATGGTGAGGATATCTGCCTCAACTAGCCTCCCAGGCAGTGCATTCCAGATCCCCACCCCGTCTACGTAAAAAAAAAACTTCTGATTCAAATCCCCGTCAAACCTTCTGCCTTTCACTTTAAAAGTTTCCTTTGTTCTTGACTCTTCAAATAAGGAAAACAGCTGCTTTCTATTTACCCTGTCCTTGTCCCTCATAATCTAATACATCTCTATCAGGTCCCCCCTCAAATTTCTCTACTCTGAAGAAAACAACCCAAGCTTACCCAGCTTCTCTTCATATCTGAAATGCTCCATCCTATGCAAAATCCTGGTGAATCTTCTTTGCACCCACTCCAGAGCAATCACATCTTTCCTATAGTGTGGTGACCAGGATGTACACAGTACTCCAACCAAAGTTCTATACAGATCCAACATAACCTCCCAGCTCTTATGCTCTATGACTTGACTGATAAAGGCAAGATACACACATGCTTCCTTAACTACTCCGTTTGTGAATCTGTGGACAAGAACTCCAAGATTCTCTGTTCCTCTGAGCTTCCTAGTGTCCTGCCATTCACTGAATACTCCTTTGACATGTTACTTCTTCCAATGTGCATCACCTGCACTTATAAAAGATTACACAACTGCTATTTTGAAGAAGAGCAGGGGAGTATCCCTGGTGTTGGAGCCAATATGTATCCTTCAATTAACATCACTAAAACAGATTACCTGATCGTTATCACATTGCTTTTTGTTAGATCTTGTGTCTGCAAATTAGCTACTACATTTCCTACAATATAACAGTGACTATTTTAAAAAAGTACTTTGTTGGCTGAGCCCTGTAATGGGGAGGGGTGCTGATATTTCTGTTGAATTCTTTTATTGTGTAAAGCCTTAATAATTCTCCCTTGTTTGTGCAGATCATACTCTATTTGCAACAGTTCTATGCCATGCTCATGAAGCGAGCAACATACACCTGGCGGAACTGGAAGATATTCACAGCCCAGTTTATGGTACCACTGATTTTTGCCTGTTTTGCGTTGATTGTTGCCAAGACATTTCCGGGGCCTCAGGATTCACCTCCATTAAATCTGACTCTGGAAAAATATGGATCTACCATTGTTCCTTTTTCATTGAGACCTGACTCCCGGAACCTGACTAAAAAATTGTCCCAGGCTTACAAAGAGGTGTTAGAAGCGCAACTGGGCATCCCAATACAGACAGAAGGTGAGACACCTCGTGATTGTCCAAACTACTCTACTGATCTTTCTTTTAAATCATTTTGAAAAGATAAGTCATGAATAAGTACTTTTGTGGGATCATAGCAAAGAATCTTCAGTTGCCAGGCAATCAAACTCTGCAGCATTGATTCTGATTACTGTGTACAGGAGCTGTAGACTTTCCCAGCCTCAGTGAGGCTATACTTTTGGGATTTGGGATACAAACAATTTTAGAGCCCATTTAGAATTTTACATCAAGTGGGTCAGAAAATCTTTGTGCCTGCTCCTTGCTTCATGGCCTTTATGAGAAGAGGTGGGGCTACTGTCTTCCCATCCCTTCCCAAGGTCTAATAAAGAAGAAATAGAGCTTGTGGTATGCCTCCTCCTACTCCAGGGCCAGTACAGGAAGAGGTGGAGCAAGTGAGATTACATCTTCCACTAGCAATGCTACAATTTTTGGCCAAGATGTTAATATTGGTAGCATGCAAGAAGCTGTTGGTAGTACCAAATTCTGCACCTTCCAATAGGTAGATCTTTTACACAAGACCTGCTTCAATAGGCAGCCCTTTACACAAGATTTCCTCCAATTGGCATTCCTCTTACAAGATCTTCTCCAATAGACAAACTTCTTGCACATGATCACTTCCAATAGGAAGCCCCCTTACGCACAATTTCCTCCGAATTTGATGAGTTAAGTTAATGTCTCATGTGCCTTCGATTGTGATGCGTGAGGTGCCCTTGGTTACACGCTCAGTGTGAGACAGTTGTGTTTGTCATCTGGTTTCTGACAGATTTCTGTTGCCTTTTTCCTCCAGGTGATATTATTGATTATCTGTTGAATTCTTCAATTAAAGAAGGATCTTCTTTTAATGAACGATGTGTGGTAGCTGCAGATTTCCATGACACACTGACAACTGGAACCAGGATACGAGTTTTATTCAATAATTTGGGCTATCATACATCTGCTACTTCCTTGATGTTAGTGGACAATGCCTTATTCAAGATTCTGGTGGGACCAACAGCATCAATCAGTACCACCAACTATCCACAGCCCCGCAACATTACAGAGCAAGCAATGGAACAACTGAATGAGTATGTACTCAGCACTAACCTTCTTATGGAATGGGTGCAGCCAATAATTGGGAGTAAGTGCACTGTGTGGTGTGGTACAATCATGTAAACAGCCATATCCCAAGTTTGAGTCCTGATCAATGTTAAGTCAGCCAGAGGCACCCTGACTTAGAAAGGGAATAATCAGCTGGTCAGCACTATCTTGCTTCAACTTACTAACTTACTATCTGACTGCATGAGGATGCAGATTTTAACAGTAAGAACATGCAACTGCTAGATATTCATATGCAAACTCAGCAGCTATAACCAAAAAAAATCAAGAAATACAAGCAGCAGTGTGCCATGCACTCTTCAAGCCTGTTCCACCATTCATTGAGATGATTGATGCTCAATTCACATTTCCCTTGATTTTTTTATTGTTAAATATATTCAATGACTGAACATCCACAACTTCTTGGGTAAAGAATTCCAAAGAATCATAATCAAGTGAATGAAAAATTTTCTTTTCACCTCAGCCCAAATTGTCATTCATAGAGTCATAAGTCATAGAGTCATACAGCATGGAAATAGACCCTTTGGTCCAACTAATCCACACCAACCATATTCCCAAACTAAATTAGTCCCACTTGCTTGCATTTGGCCCATATCCCTCCACACCTTTCCTATTCATGTACTTATCCAAATATCTTTTAAACATTGTAACTATACCTGCATCCATCACTTGCTGTGGCAGTTCATTCCACACACTAACCACTCTCTATGTAAAAACATTGCCCCTCATGTCCTCTTTAAAGCTTTCTTCTCTCACCTTAAAAATATGCCCCCCCCCAGCCAAATTTGGAACTCCCCCACCGTAGGGAAAAGACCAGGGAAAAGTCAGTCATGATTTTATAAACCTCTTTAAAGCCACCCCACAATCTCTTACGTTCCAGTGAAAAAGTCCCAGCTTATCCAGCCTATTTTTTGTGCCATAAATTCTCCATTCCCCATAACATCCTGCTGAATCTTTTCTGAATCCTCTCCAATTTAATGATATCCTTCCAGTAGCAGGGTAACCAGAACTTCTCACAGTACTCCAGAAGAGGCCTCACCAACGTGCTGTATAACCTCAACATGATGTCCCAACTGCTATACTCAAAGGCTGAGCTATGAAGGCAAGCATGCTAAATACCTTCTTAACCACCCTGGCTACTTATAAATTTCAAAGAATTATATAACTGAACCCCTAGGTCTGTCTGTTCTACAACATTACCCAGGGCTCTGCCGTTAATTGTAGCCTCTGCCCTGTGTTCTAGACTCTACAGCCAGGAGAAATACTTCTCAGATTATTTTTCCATGTTAGTGAGATTATTTCTCATTCTACCAAATTCCAGAGAGTATAAAACCAATCTATATAATCTCTGATTGTCATAAGGATCGGTCTAGTGAACCTTGGTTGCACCCTTTTTAAGTTAAGTATATCACCCCTAAGATACAGAGGCCAAAACTGCACACAGTGTCCCTCTTGTTGTCTCACCAAAGCCTGTATAATTGCAACATGACATTCTTTTTTCTAACCTTCTTGCAATAAAGGCCAAAGAATTATTTTCGCTTTTAATTACTTGCAATACTTGCTTGCTAACTTTATGTCTTGTGAACACTCAATCTACTGAACACCAACATTCAAAATTTAAAAAAAAACTAATTTCTATTCTTCCTACCTAAATAAATAATTACACTTTTTCCCACATGATACATTATACCTACTTACCCACTCACTTGACCTACCTCTATCCCTTTACAGACTGCTTATGACTTCCACCCAGTTTGGCATCATCAACAACATTGATTATGATTGGTGTACATCACACAGTTGTTCAGCAACACAGGAAAAGCTGATTCAGGCACAGGTGTGCCAGAAGAGTTGACCTTTTTTGGAGTTTGGGTGCCATTGCTGATGGTTGCTGTATATGTGTGTTTACATCTGCTGTTTGGCACTGTGCCTGTGGTATGTTCTGATCGTCTATGAGTGAAGCTGATGCCACACTCCTTACTAGGTGCTGGTATGCTGCCAATGTTATTGGTTGGGAATGTGACCAGAAGGTGAAAAGGAGATGAGAGATTCTGATCGTGAGACCCCCACCCCACCTTTAAATGGAAGGACACCAGTCCCATATATGATCTCCAATCCAAATAGATCCAGCTTCTTCTGTCCAGCTGCTTTGCCAATCACTCTGTCCCAAAACTGAAAGTTGTTCCTTGCTGAAAATGTCTTTTGATCACTTGATTACCTGTGGTCAATGGAGGTGAGTTTAAAACTTCCTGCAGAATTGAAGTAAGAGGATACCGGTACTCATAAAATGGCGATAGGCTAATCATTTTGGGTTTAGGGTTATAGGTCACCACTTCTTTGCGCACTAATTCGCTTTGTTCTTTTGATTTGTTCACAGAAATAGGACAGGGTTTGCTTTGGCCTTCAACTTGATATTTGGCATGGCCTTTCTGGTTAGCACTTTTTCCCTGTTGTTGGTATCGGAGAAAACCATAAAATCCAAGCACATTCAGCTCATCAGTGGCCTTCATATCATCAACTTCTGGCTGTCTGCTCTCGTCTGGGATCTGATTAACTATGTTATCCCCTGTGTTGCAATCCTAGTAAGTAACCAATTCCTGAGCTGGCTCATTTCATATGACAAATAGAAAAGGACCCAGGAATGGCGGAAGAACTGAATGAGTAGTTTGTATCAGTCTTCACAGTAGAGGAGACTAATAGCATTCCAAAATACTAAATAATCAAGGGACTAAAATGGGGATGGGGGAAGAAGGAAATAAACATAATAACTATCACTTGAGAAAAGGTACCAGGGAACCTAATAAGTCCATGACCTGATGGGTTGCATGTAGGATTTTAACGGAAGTAGCTGGAAAGATAGTAGATGCGCTAATAGTAATCTTAGAACAGTACAGCACAGTACAGGCCCTTCGGCCTACGATGTTGTGCTGACCTATTTTCCTACTCTTAGATCAAACTACCCTGCATACCTTACATTTTACTGTCATTCATGTGCCTATCCAAGAGTTGCTTAAATGTCTTCCAAAGAATCCTTAGAGTCTGGAAAGCCCAAGAGGATTGGAAAATCATCAATGTAACATGTTTATTCAAAAAGAGAGGGAGACAAAAAAGAATCTAACTGTAGACCAGTTAGCTTAACAACTGTAATTGGGAAACTGTTAGAGTTTATTATTAAGGATGTAATAGCAGAGCATTCAGAAACACAATACAATCAAGCAGTCAGCATAGCTTCATGAAGAGGAAATAATGCCTGACAAATTTATTATAGTTCTTTGAGGAGAGAACAAGCAGAATAGATCAAGAGACACCAGTAGATTTAATATATTTGAATTTCCAAAAGACTTTCAATAAAATACCATACATGAAGCTACTTAATAAGATAAGGCCCCATGATGGTGTAGAATATTAGCATGGGTGTGGGATTGGCTAACTAATAGAAGACAGAGAGTTGAAATAAAGGGGTTATTTTCAGGATGGCAGTCTGTAACTAGTGGAATGGCACAGAGATCAGTGATGGGGCATTATATTTACAATATATATGAATGACTTGGATGATGGAAGTACATATACAATCTTCAAGCTTGTCGACAGTACGAAAACAGGTGGGAAAGCAAGTAGTTATGGTAACACCAGGAGTCTACTGAGATGGAGAAACTAGTTAAGTGAGTGCACACAAACTTGGCAGATGGAATATAATGTGGAAAAATGTGAGGTTATGAACTTTGGCAGGAAACATAGAAGAACTGAATGTTATTTAAATGAGGAGAAACTTCAGAAAGCCATAACACAGGGGGTCCTGGTACATGAATCTCAAAAAACTAACATACAAGTTCATTGGGTAATAGGGAAAGTAAATGGTCTGTTGGCTTTATTTCAAAGAGAATGGAGTATAAAAATAGGATGGTCTTGCTAAAATTGTACAAGGCACTAGACAGACCATAACTGTGAACAGTTTTTGTCCTTTTATCCAAGGAAAAGTATGCTGGCATTGGAGGCAGTCCAGAAGATTCACTAGATTGATCCCAGGTATGGAGGGATTTTCTTATGAAGGGAGGTCAAGTAGGTTGGGCTTAAGCTCATTGGGGTTCAGAAGAATGAGAGGATATCTAATTGAAACATATAAGATTCTTAGGGGTCTTAACAGGTAGATGCAAAGAAGTTGTTTCCCCATGTGGGAGAGTCTAGGACCAGATGACGTAAAGGGTTTAAGATTTAAGATGAAGATACGGAGGTATTTTATCTCTCAGAGGGTGTTGAATCTATGGACTTCTTTACCTTGGAAGACTGTCAACTTTGTATTGTTAGATATATTCAAAACTGAGATAGCCATTAATCGTTACGAGCTTTGAGAATTATAGCGATAAAGCAAGAAAGTGAAGTTGAGGACAGTGTCATCAGCCATGATGTTCTTATGGTCTCAACATCTTTAAACTGATCACAGTTAGTGGATGTAACTAGATTAGTGGACATCTCCAGCCAGCGTGTGTCTCTGTATAACTCTGTTAAAAGTTTTTGGTGGAAAGGATAAAAGTGTCATAGAGATATACAGCATGGGAACAGACTCTTTGGTCCAACGCATCCATGTCGACCAGATATCCTAAAATAATCTCGTCCCATTTGCCAGAGTTTGGCCCATATCCCTCGAAACACTTCCTATTTATATACCCATCCAGCTGCCTTTTAAATGTTGTTATTGTACTAGCCTCCACCACCTCCTGTGGCAGCTCGTTCCATACATGCACCACCCTCTGTGTGAAAAAGTTGCCCTTTAGGTCCCTTTTAAATCTTTCTCCTCTCACCTTAAATCTATGATGAATTTTTTTATGAATGGGTCCTATTTACTCTCAGTCTCCTCTAGGAGCTGTTTCTGAAGGTGTGGTGCCCAGTCATACCCCCTTACATGTCATTTCTCTTCCCAATTCTTCCCATGCTTTTAAATGGGAACTTGGCCTGCCAGGCCATAACTATTACTAGGAACCTGCTGCTGATTTAAATTCATAAACAACACATGGGACAGGAGTAGTATCTTTAACTAGAAGCTCTTAAAATCCATCTCTTTAACTAAGTGTTTGGCCATTTGATGATATCCCAATTTTACCTCAGGTTTTATTGAAATTGTCTCTCCAGGAATGACTCTCCTTTGTGAAAGTCCTGTAAAATTGACAGTCACTGTAAATATGTTCAGAACCAATCATAATTTTTTGAATGATATTCTTCCCCTACCCAGCAATCATAATCAGTGATGACATGGTCCAACTCCGCTGCAAAACCTGTGGCTCTTACACTGAGGCACTTCGTTGCTGGGCATAGGCTAGATCTGTTTGGGCACCCTGATCCTTTATTTTATTTTGTTACGAAGTTGGGTAGAGTAATTGTGAAGTAGAAGACAGGAAGCTAAAATGTGTGGTTCCTTTAAGAGATTTGTGCTTTGCCTGTACTTAGAATTTTTTTTAAAAATGTATGTCTGTGAGCAGCAGCTGAAGTTGCCAGTACAGAGAGCCTCAAAAAGTGAAACAAGTGTATCAGAAAAGCCTTATAGATGGCAGGCAAAACAGCAATCTCGTTTTGATGTTGTGACAGTGAGTTTGAATTCAGCCAATTAATTTAAATGAAGCACCTGGATACAGAAAGCCAATTGAATTTAAATCTGATGGTGTTGACAACCTGAAACCAATCATGTTATAAGAATTTGATTATGCTATTACGGGTATATAAGACAAAGGGCACTTGGAAAATCCGGGAGAGCCATCCGCTCTCAGAGAAGGTCCTTCTAATTAACCAAAGGTACCATGGAATTATAGCTCAAAGTCCTAATTGAAGAAATTATAGAGATAAAACATCCCTGACAGTAGAATTAACAGAAGATAGGTTTGCAAAGAGACTGGAGACAACAGAATATTCCAGAAGACAATCTGTGGGAACTTGGAGAAACTAAGTTATAATTTATTGCTTCTTATTAGTTGGGTTTCTATTAGTGGGCCTTGTTTTTATTTAAACAGCATTCCAGTAGAATTTAGACCAGTTAGGAAGTAGTTAGTCATCTAAAGGGGAAATGTCTGTTTGTTAGTAATTTTGTAATTTGTTCATTGTTGGGTTAAAGAAATAAATTGTAAAGTGGAGATCAAGGGTTTTCTTTCTTTTAGCCACTCTTCTAATAGATTACAAGGGGAAAGACGAGCGTCTCTGGGTGTTTCAGGGGTAATTATTAGAGGGGAACCCCTACTCCTGTCATAACAGATCAGGGCTTGTGTCTTAGTTTCATTATCAGAGGGGTTTGGCCATTCCCCGTTGTAACAATTCATTCACAGAATGTGGGCATAGGTTAACGTTTATTTCCCATCCCTAAATGTTAAGAGTTAACCACATTGCTGTGGGTCTAGAGTTACATGTAGGTCACATGATAGTAGTTTCCTTCCCCACAGGTTGGTGAACCAGATGGTTTTTCCAACAATCGACAATGTTTCATAATCACCGTTAAACTCTTGATTCCAAAATCTGCCATGCAGAATTCAAACACAGGTCCCTAGAACATTACCTGGTCTTTACATTAATAGTCTAGTGATAATACCACTAGGTCATTGTTTCTCCCTTATTATGAAAATAGTGTAATACCAGTAATATAAAAATAACAAGAAATGGGCAGAAAAACATATTTATTTTATTTCTTTTCAGGTGATGTTCCAGATCTTTAATCTGCAACCTTTCACTGTGCAGCAGCATCTTGGAGATGTGTTGATACTTCTACTCCTTTATGGTTGGTCCATTATCCCTACCATGTACCTCTTCCACTACTTCTTCGATACACTTGCTACAGCCTACACCAGAATCACCATTATCAACATTTTGACTGGCACAGCCACCTTCTTGGCCATTACAATTATGAACATTCCAGGTACTTCAAAGTAAGAGACTCCTAAATGGAAGTCTAGGGTCTGAAAATTCCATTCTACTGCTCCAACTCACTGTAGAATCTTGATGTTTGAATATTGCAATTCGACTGTGAAAGCTTTGTCACAATGTACTGCATTAAGGTCAAATTGCTTTCTGTGCCAGGCCCTGCAATGTTGTTATCACTGGAACATGCATTGGTGCCATCTCACTGTCCTGCATTGATATTGTAATGGTACCCTACATTGGTGTTGTCACAAAACTGTGCATCAGTGCCATCAGCAGGCCATGCATTAGTCTACTCGCAGTAGGAATGGCATGTGTTGAAGGCATAATGTAGATGCTGTTGTGGTGTTTTTCATTTGCACTTTGGTGCAGAATACCAAGATTCAGTTGTTTCCCAGGATTTTGCAGAGATTGGCAAGAAAGAGCCAGAAAAGCACAGAAAATCTTTGGCACAGAAGGAAGCAATTTGTTCCAACAGAGAAAGAACTTTCTGACCTGATCTCACTTCTCAGCTCTTGGGTCATAGCCATGTGGGATATAGCACTCCAGGTGCCTATCTGAGTAGTTCCAAATCACCAAGCATTACATGCACCACATTATAACCAGCTCAAGAGGAACATTGACAGTTTAATTATGTGGAGGAAACAGAAAGAGCAGTTCAGCTAACTGTCCTTGGAGAGAGCTTGTCTTGGGGAAGGGGAGAAAAAAAAATACAATTTAAAAATAACTACACTAATTTCTGAATCATTACTTATTTCCACCAATTCCAGCACTGTACATTCCTGTGGGAAATTAATCTGCTGAATTTAAGATACTTAGTTGTTGAGGGGTCTGCACCTCCCTTCAATATTATTCAGTTCTGGTGGTTCTTTTTGGTCATTGATGGTTTGTATAACCGTAGGAGCAGCATCTCTATCATTCGTGCAAGCTGAACTTGATTTTGCTGGCAGTTTAAATGTTCATGAATTGAGGTAAATAAAATCAGATGCCTCACCCAGTGGCCAGTGGGAGCCACCAGTTCATGTTTAGAGAGGGATGAAGTTTATGGGAGAGGGGTTTGGTTGGCAAGACTCCTGAAAAATAGTTGAGAAATGCATTTAATCGAGCTTCATTATGTTTAATTGTTTCTTCCCACAGAACTTGATCTGACAGACCTAGCAAAGATTCTGGATGCAGTGTTTCTCATGTTACCCAATTACTGCCTGGGACAGGCTATGAATGATTTTTACCAGAACTACCAATTGATTACAGTGTGCACAAGAAGCCCACTTGCCGAGTATTTGTGCGAGGCATTCAGTGAGTATGTCCCCAGTCCCAAATGCTTTTACGTACGTTACTTATGACCAGGAGGGAACTGGCGAAAGGAGTGATGATGATGTGTTTCTGATTATATGTCATATAGTCAGATAACAGAAATAATGGAGGCAAAAGGCAGTCAGAAAGAAATGGGTCTTATCTCAAGTTGTGTTCAACCAGTGTTGAAGCTTCCAGTCTTTTATAAGTGATTGATCAGTAAGTAAACAATAGGTGTTTTACTGTTCCATTAATAATGTGGTTAAATTATGCAAACTCACATGGCATATGCATCTGTGATTCACATCACGTGAACCTGAATCTCTAATCTCTTATCTCTTACCTATCTATTATCGTCAGACTGGTCTGAGTTGTCTAGAGACAAAGAAATGAAAAAAAACCAAGAAACTTTCAAAAATGCTAAAATTAGATTTGATAGCCAGTAAAACTGTTCTCACCTTGCACATTGTTGATGTTTTGCAGACATCACCTACCAGACTGATTACTTAGCCTGGGAATCTCCTGGAGTTGGCCGCTTGATTGTTGCTCTGGCAGTCCAGGGCTTGGTCTTTCTGACTTTTCTCCTCCTTATTGAGTTTAATATCTTCAAAGTATTGTCCACTTTATTCCATTATATCGTCTGGAGAAAGAGAACGGTGCGTTCAAAGAACACAACAGTTAACTAATTAATTATCCATGTGATGCTGAGAACAACTTTTCTCTGACTTCCCACCTGACCATTGACAGTACTGCCAAGTCTTGAGCAAACTTATTCTCAGTGAACATTACCAAGCTACTTGCTGCCAGTATTTTCTATTACTGAACTTCTAGTTTGAATTTGATTAGAATATAATTCTCAGAACAACTAGGAATAGGAATTTAATAGAGAGGTTCAGGGTGGGAGGATGATGGTTGTATATAGAACAACAGATATCTATGAGTGATATACATGCTGGAATTGATTTGGGGTGGCTTATACATAGAATTACTGATTCCAAGCAGTGAGATAAAGGCAAAAGAACCTGATTGGAGGTTTGGATAAATATCAGATACTCAAGAATGAACTACAGTTTGAGATCAAGGAGTGCAGCTGGCATAACTATTATCCGAGAGTGAGTTAGAGGCTGTTATCTAATTGAGGGGTTCTGAGGGTTTATATTTGGACTAGCAGGTAGTCAGGAATGAGTTACTGGCTGAAATCTAATTAAGAAATTCTGACAGTCTTTTCTTTACTGTTTTACAAAGTTAGAAAATCCTCAGAGTACAACATCCCTCACTCAAGGGATTAAGTAAATTGATTGGAACAAATGTTTTGGATTCACCAAATTACATTTTTCTGATTCCTGAGAGGATTCCTGAGGTCATTCCCATCTTTGCAAAAATTAACCCAAATTTGCATTTTTACTTCAACCTACGAGAGTCTGTCTCTGTCCCAGGCATGTGTGGTGACCCCAGGGAAAAGGGGAGAACCTTGTGACGAACAACTTGGGGAGTGAGAGAGGATTTAAGGAGAATGGATCTTAGGGAATGGGGGTACTTGGAGAATGAGGGAGAAGCCAGGGGGTGGGAGGGATCCAGAGATCGGGTGAGGACCTGGAAGAGGGGTGTTCTCAGGGAATGAGGAGACTCCAGAGTAGGAGGCAACCCAGGGGGTGGAGAAAGCCCCAGAATGGGAAGTGGACGGTGAGGACCTGGTGAGGGTAAAAGGGGGAAAAGAGAAGGATTAGAAATGGGATGTAATGTATCTAAACTGAGCTGTATGAGTGTTTTTCCCTGTCAGTAAGCCTTAACCTGGAGAGGGTGGCTCATCATCAAGAACAGAGATTGTACCTAAATATAAATCAATTTCATTAAGAGAGGGAAATTTATGACTCTACATAGATTATTTGTTTGTGAAGTTTATTGCAATCGCTGAGGTATAAAACATAAACCAAAAATTCTGGAAACATGGAAAAGTCAGCCAGCATCTGTGGAGACAGACTTTCAAGATCGATTATTGTTAATTCTAATGCAACATCAACACATTTCCTCTGCTAACACAAACTGAATGACCTGCTGTGAGTTTCTAGCAGATTCTGTGATTGGTTATGTTTGAATGGTGTAGTGGGTATGAATAGGCTAATATTTCTATCTTCTATTAGGCTTCAATTATAAATGGCAACATGCCACAGCTCATTGAAGACTCTGATGTCAGGGATGAGCGTTTGAGGATAGAGGAGTCAACAGTTTCCCAAATGGACTGCCCATTAGTGATAAAGGAACTCTTCAAGGTAAGTGTGCTGTCTCCCAGCGATAGTGGCAATTGCAATTGCAGCAGAAAACCAAATGTGCAGTCCTGAGAATGTGCTCAATGACCTGTCCGGAACACCCTGCTTTCGGAAGCTTGAATCTGTTAGAGGTGCTGCTGGAGCAGTGCAATTCCCTTTAACAGATCAGTTACCAGAGTGAGAGGTTACCTCTGACAATTCAGTCCCTTCAGCCAACATCCATTCTGCTGCAGTAGATAGTGATGCACTTGAAAGTGCGAGTCTGAACAACGAGGGCATCTCAGTTAATCAAAGTATGGCATTCTAGATCTGCAATAGTGTTAGTCCTATCACTCTCCTATCACAAAATCCCACCCCACTCCCTACGAGTATCTTCACTGCTTCTTCAAAGATCCTTCTGTTCCTAGGATGTTACCCCTATCACCCCCCCCCCAAGGTTCCCCATTCTCCACCTGGATCTTCATTCATGTACTGGTCCTTTCCCCCAACGTCTGTGCCTTTCCCCCACCCAAAACCCACCATCTCCCCATACTCTCCATGTCCCTCCCACCATAAGCAAAGAATATGAAACTGAACTAGCCAAGAATATAAAAACAAGTTGTAAGAGCTTTCACAGGGGTGTAAAAAGAAAGAGAATAGCTACGTAAACATTGGATCCTTAGAGGCAAAGACAGGAGAAATTATCATTTTTTAAATTCAATCATGTGATGTGGTCATCACTGCCGTTCATTGCCAATCCCTAGTTGCTCTTGAGAAGGGCCTTGATGTAATGAGGAACTGGCAGAGAAATCAAACAAATATTTTGTGTCTGTCTTCACAGTAGAAGACACTAAATGCAATTCCAGAAATAAAGGTAAAAGACAGTGAGGAACTTAATACTATGACCAATGAGGAAAGGAAGCAAACTGTCGGAGTAAAGGGTAGTTATTCGCAATGGCAGAAGGTGAGAAGTGGTGTTCCTTAAGGTTGTGTGCTGGGGCTGCTGGTAAGCATAATTCACCTTAATTCACCTTTTGACATTAAGATGGCGGCAGAGTAAGACCCTCCGCTTGGAGCACCTCTGCTCACCAGTTTCTTTTCCTTTTACTTCTGTTTTTCCTGCTCTTTGCAGCATTTTTTTCTCCCCTCCCTCACCCCCTCCAACTTTAAACTATCCTACTTTATCTGGAGAATGGAGTCAAGGGAGATGAGTCGCAACTGGAGACCAGGCAAGAGCAGAGCGAGCGGGCCGAGTCCCGGAGCAACAGCAGAGCGTGCGAGCTGAGTCCTGGAGCAACAGCAGAGCGAGCGGGCCGATTCCCGGAGCAACAGCAGAGCGAGCGGGCCGAT